TACATATCTATATTTATACGGCCGTATTATTTAGAAGGACAGCGAATCGACAATTTAACTACTATTTGTAGTTTTGAGGTGGCTAACATCTAGCCAAACCTACGACATCGTGCCGCCAGTAAATGGGCCCCTATGGAGATATCTTCTGTGCACAAATCGAAGACATCACAGCGTGCAGTTGTGCACCGCGCACGTATAGAACCGGTTAATAAAGGCGTTTTCGCAGTTGTGGGACAGCACCGAATGCTGCTGACGCCTGTTCATGTTTTGCAGACGATATTGCATTCGGTATCGATGCTATGAGACTTCTGCTGTTGTTGTATCAAGGGAACAATCGAGAAAAGAGCTTGGATCGGCTTGGTCAATCAATCGGCCACTGTCGCTGAAAGTGAAGCAAATCAGAGAAGTCTACCTATCCACAGCGTTCCAATCCGATCGGCTAGTTGCCCAGACAGCAGTTGAGTTTCGCCTCATCGTAAGCGAGAAACGACCATTGACAGCAATAGCCGTAACAGGAATAAAGAGGAGGAAAAAGAAGCTATAAGAAAAACGAGCTGATCGCAGGACCGCTCACATGCCGACCCAGCTCCTGTTGGCGAGAAACAGTTGACGCCGATTGCTAGGAGAAGTAAAGAAAGTACCGAGAATACCAACTCTTTTGCTCGCCCGAGGGGGGCGAAAGCCTATGGAAAGCAGCTAGCGGACCCGTCCGACGATTTAGCTTTGTATCCAATCATATATATACACATACGTATGTCCGTCTCGTATATATTATGTAAGTATGGATGGCGTGGTCACATTGACGCAGCACCGCTATTGCTGCTCTTATGCGACCACTGCATTCGTGGAAGCCATTTGTTCAGTTGTTACCGGCAAAGTCGACGTAATTTTACGCCACAGTTTTGCCGTCAGTGTCGCGCCGTCAGTGTCGCGCCGCGCCGCGTCGCGCACACGGTCGGCTTCGTCACCAACTGCTCATTGGCAACGTTGGAGATTATACCATGCCGCACATACGAAAGTACATGAACCAGAATCATATACATATATTCACACATATATGTACATATATTTAGTCTGAGACTGAAGAGTATATCTATAGACGTGTAGACGCTCGTTGTCATCCTCGATAATTGGCAAGGGTGCGCCTTGATCGCGAGTTTGTGGTGATGCATCGGTTTCGTCAGGGTTCTGATACAAACATGCGCTCGATAGTTTGCCTTTTCATGTTGCCTGTCGCTGGCGCTACCGTCCACAGACGGGGCTGCATTAACAACCCGCGGTCGCTCGTAAAGCTTCGGCCGCCTCTCCGCGATCGCAGCCTGCTATATACACGAACTTCATAGCCACAATCAGTGATAGTAGTCACGCGAAAAGCAGAAGCTTCTCTTTCGCAATTACTCCAAATCTCGAGTGTTGGACGCGGACCCAAAATTTTCGAACAACTGATGAAGCTAACTTCGTAGATACGCATTGACGCTGCGACTAATAACTTTGTTACCGGATGCTGTATACATTTTTCGGTGAACGGAACCCTGCCTTGGTGAAGCTCTGCTGATACATGTATATATATATATACATGTATACTTTGCATTATATGTTTTGCAGGAATATCTAGAGAGAATGTTTTTGACGCTCGAGCTACTACTAGGGAACCCTGACATGGTTTCTATTCATACGGTTCTCTGCACATGCATAATAGTACTGTATTTTTTTGTCAGCGTTACTTTGAGCTGCCGAAAGAACTATTCGACTATAGAATTGTAGAAAAGAAAAGGGGTCCTATCTTGGTAGCTCCTAGGTCTTTAACAGTGCACATTTTATCGCGTTAAATTAATTCCATCTTTGACGTTCTCAGCTGCAAGGTCGTCGCTATCGCCATTGGAAGATGCGTCAGCAACTTCGTACTGTGCTCCCACACACGCCCTCAGCATCGATGTCTCGCTTAGATCTTTGCACGGAACGAAGTAATATAATGGCGGAAAGGTTTCAGCCTAATACTCCGTTCATATGCGTAAATTAAGCCTGCGTTGGGCCGGCGCCAGTCTCTGCGGCTTCGTCGCTTGTAGGACCACCACAGCCGCCAGGTCCGGCCGGCCCCCGATCCGACAACGTCTTACACCTGCGGCTGTCGGTGCGGTTATGCATATATCATATCAAGCGAAGACAACTTGCAGCTGTTGCTAATATTTATAGGTCCACTAGCGGAGCAGCTGCATGGCCGTCACTCTTGAAGTCGAGCTATAGGCACTTGTCCACTTTACGGTGAATAGAAGCAGAGTCTTGCCCGCTCTGGCGGAAAGAAAGGATTGAGCACGTTCCTGAGGCCTTTACCATCATCACCATCACTAGAATCATTACAACCATTGGACCAGAATTGGTAGCTGTAAGAAGAGAAACATCGGCAGGAGCAGCATCTTAAACATCGGCGTCGTCATCGTAGACTGCTGGATCCACCATTACGGTCAACGGCCGCCATCCATATTATCAAGCTTTGAGAGAAACGCGAACATTTGTCATAATATTGGACATGTAAAGAAAACGCATCGCGCACGCAAGAAACGAAAATAAGGAAAAAAGTGTCGAGGAAGAGCGAGCAAAACAAATCATCTCAACATCCGATCCGCCTCAGGATGCAGCTCAAACGGAAAACCGTTGTATCGCCAACAGACTATGGCATCCTAAGCCTGGCGTGCGTTTGCTGCTGATTGAATTGTTTTACTGTAGTACTTCAGATTACCACACAAATAGCCGAAACACTCTGCTGTCTGCTACAAAGAGTCGAAGTGGTCGTTTTGTCGTCTGTATGTCGAAAATTGCAAGCCGTAGCAACAAGGGCGGGCAAAGTGTTGGACCTCTGCAAAATGCCTCTTGTACTACGCGGGATAGACAGGATCTAAAGGAATGCCCCATTTGTAGGTGGGTAAAAGGGCATTAGCGATTAATAGCCACTGTGACGCGGGCATCGACCGTGACGGTAGACGTGACAAGGTTATTTGTGAGAAATTGGCGAAGCTAGGACCGTTGCAGGCCAATAGAAACAACGACGGGAAACGATAGACGCAGCAAACGATGAGCTAGAGAATAGTACGGAGTGATATTCGAGAAGATCGTCATAGACAGTTGCGTGGATGATGCACGAGGGAAAATAATTAGCAGTAGATTAACTGCAGACATTTTATAGTTTCTGTTAGACTGTAATTAGCGGAATAATACGGTAGAGATGCCGGCACAACAACTGTTACAATAGTAAAAAACAGTAACAACGTAAGGCCATGCTGCTTACTGGACCCTCGTTACGAACTATCAAATAGTGCCATAGAAAATGGTGAAACAAAACGTAAGGTGAAATGGAAAAGCTAAGCTTAAACGCGTATTACCACAAACATTACATATAATTATTTAAATAAATCAATTATGTTAACTGTACATCTAACCTAGAATTTTAGTAGCGCTGAAAAAATTCTGCTGGTTACACGTAGAACGGTAGTTACCGGACATTTTTTAACCGGACAATTATACATGCATCATGGCGTCCGCTAAATACATCCCTGTGATGGTGTAGCCGTAGCGTGCAAATAGTTACATAGTCTCGGTTGGAGACCGAGCATAGACAAGCTTCATTTCGTGTTGGAAGACGCCATCAGCCGTTGAAAGCTGCAATAGGACAGACTCACCTGAAAGTAATGCTTGATACTCTAATCCAGCTGGTAAATATGTTCCTCAACTTTATTAGTCATCGGATCCTGACAACGACCGGCTTGCTTCTCGACGTACAACTCTGCCACGACTGCCTTTCGTTGGTCAGCGTGGGTGCTGATTCTGTGGGATCGTTCATGTTTTTTACGAGCACAAGGCTTTCATCGTTTGGCCCACTGCCGAAGATAGCGCGCTATTTGGCCTTACACCACCAGTAGCGCGTTGATAGTCGCGTCACACATCGTTTTGAGTGTAGCTTGGTGATCATCGTGTCCCGGACGGTAGCGGCCCGATCCGAGGGTGGTCCTCCGATGGGCGGTGTAGCCGAGATGGGGCACGAGGGGGCAGATCAGTTTGCTATAAAAGATCCCATGCCTAGTCCTTCCATCATACGAGGGCAATTCCGTTGTCCCTGTCGCGTGCTTACTCCCACACTACTGGGACTTCTTCTTCTTCTCGCGAGTTTACGCTTCCTACGCAACTTTTACTCCTCTCTCTCAGCCAGCGACGGACAAGGGTTGCTCAACTGTCCTTAGATACCCCCATCGTATTGATGAACAGCCCGTACTTTCAACGGACTGAAAAACACACAAGCAGCAGGGGGTGAGCAACCCTTCTCTGTCGTCGAAGGCTTCTCTTCGAGGTTTCCAAACCCTTCGAATCCATAAGCCCTCTATATTCCCTTTGTATCAGCGCGCGCTTTGCCATGCTTTCGAGGGAAAGAAACCCTGCCTTGGTACAACGAAAAGTCACCCGATCACTCGATGTGCGCGCGAAGCGCACCCTCTAAGTTAAAAAATGAGGACACTATAGCACGACGACGAAACCTCATACAGAGGAAATCAGTGGGAAGGAGAGAGTTAAAAGCATACTCATAAAACTGTCATAATAACCGTCATAGACATTTTTCTTGAGAAATTCTTCCATCTGCACTGGTTGTTGTCGTTGTCTTGGAGACTGCGTACGGGAGGGGGGGGGGGTTTCGCGCCAAAAGTCGTCCGCTAAAGCGCGCGGGCAAGTATGGTTGAGAAAGCGTTGACCGCAGATTGTTTTACGGCGCTTTGATCTCGAGAGATGGTATGGACTTTTTTTTTGTTGATACAAATCAACAATTGCGAGTTTCTACTGCAAGCCAGAAGTTCATATAGAGAATCTACCGTTTGGATGATTGAAAGAGCTTGATTACTCGTTAACTAAATTCATTTTTATTAATTTATTTTAGCAGGTTTTGTTAAGGAAGACCATTCCCAAGCTAATTATTTTCTGCGTAATACAAATACTGGATAACTGGAATTATGCGAAGATAACGCGAGCTTCATTAGCTCAGCAAGGACACAATCTTATACACATAAAAGTGAACTGTCTAAGTAGAGTAGATAGATCGCGCGTTAAAATGGTCTCGTTTCAAGCAGAGTTTCTGCCAACCAAACTTCCTACTCGTAATTTAAGTTGCAAAGCGCTTATTTAACTTATGGCACAAGTTAGCTTGGCGTCGCTGTTATCCCTACAGCGCTGTTTGGTATTATGATCATAATCATCACGATCGTTATATTCTATATTATTGACAATTTTGTTGCGGCTACGATCAAATTGTCGCCGCTGCATTACGTTTAGGTCGCTGCGTACCCTAAGGCTTGTCTGAATTATATACAAGGTACGTAAGTTGGCAGGAGAAGATAGTTGGCGGGAAGGCCCTGGCCGTCAGTCTGTGAGTCTCATCTCACTGCTTTTTTTTATACGTCCGTTTATTTGGTGGTTCACTGTTTTTCAGTAGCTGCTATTAGATACGGCAAGCCATTTGCGTTTTTTTCGCCTATCTGTGGTTATTGCTACCGTTGTTGCTGGTAGCTATTGTCGAGGCCGATCGTTGCTGCTAGTCGGATTACTTCGCTTCTTTGCCCGTCGTCGTCGGTCATTGTTGCCTCAGCTCGATGGTATAGATGACTTTTGCAAACTAGGGAGACATCAACACAGTAGCAGTTGGTGATATGGCTAATTTGAACAATGGCTTTATATATAAAACTGCCATCCAAATCACTATACTATTACCCATAAATTCAACAATAATGAGAAAAAAAAACTATTGTGCCTTATTTTCCAGCTCGCTGATGGGTGATGATAGCTCGCTTATTTAAATCGGCTACGGCAATAGCGTGTCGACGATTCCGCCACTTGACGTCCTTACTAATATATTATTATACTGATGTTGTCGATGATGAAAGTCAGCGGGCTGAAAGCAAACAAATGGTAAAGACGTGCGCCAAAAAGGGCTCAATTGTGACAGTCTTCCTGCTGTAATATGGTAGTCTATCTAGTATACTAGACTAGACAGGATGACAGTCGTTCCGGTCTCGCCTTAGATCGCCAGAAGGTGGGGGGCGGAGGTAACACACAGCGATAACAACAGAACTCCGCTGCGTCCAGGAAATCAGCTGCGCGTTGCAGTGAAGTCTGCCCGTATCGCGTCGTACGCAACGTCCGTCCGGCTTCTTCTCGGACGAACGGTAGCGCCGGCCCTTGCGCGACCTTAGCAGCATTTTAATCCGAGCTCTTATTAAGTTCGTTCTGAGCTACAAATAGTTTTGCTTGTTTATAGGTCGTTGACGGCGTACTTCTGCCGAAGACGGCATACACGTACGTATGTGCGTATCTGTTTTGTGTTATTTTTTCAGCATATCAACTTCACAGATTTGGTAGTAACGTGGTCACATGCAGGTTTCTAGGCAATATTTTATTATATATATATATATATATTCTATATACTACAATTTGCTCGTACGGAATTACCACTATGAGTCTACTAGAAGTCAACTGAGCTTGACAAGTATGAGAAGGCAAAATGTCTTGTCTGCCTCAGAAATCGTTCAGCACTGACCAGATCACGCAAATGTTACAACTGCGATACATGGATGCACGTTGGCTGCGTGCATGTCTCTAAATGAAGCCAAGTGAAGTTCTCTGATAGTGTATGGAGGCATAATGTATAGTCACTGAATAGACGAGCAGAATCTTGCATGGCCACTATCGCTGAAAGCGCATTGCTTCATCCTACTAAACGGGCAGATTTCTTGCGTATTTAAATGTTGCGCATGTTTTTTTTTACGGAAATATTGTTTAACGATATTATGGGAACGGTAAATAGGTATTTACTTAGCCATTCATAGTGCACAAGCGGCCATACGCGCCCAATGCGGTTCCTGAACAAATGTTCCCCTATAATAGTCCATATTATTACCGAGGCATTATTACGGATAGCACACAACGCAGACGATCTGACAGCTGTGACGTCAATAGCTCCAATAAATGTCAGAGGTTCTAATCACTTGAACTCACGCACGTGAGATCGAATCCTGATCAGAAGCAAACAGATTCTACGGACACATCCAGCTCAGAGCTTACGAAAACACTGTTTCCGTAAGTGTTTACAAATTACGACATATATATATGCGAGTAACTCCTCAAAGTTTGCAATCACACTCAGGATAATAGTAATAATGATAAAAGTGTGTCGAAAGGGCCGGTCAAAGAAAGGTCTTTTCGTCAAACAGTACCTGTAACACGCCTGTAATTCGAAGTAGGTCCGTGCTTCATTATTCCAACGGCAATCGTCTAGCATTCGCGGTTCGAGCTGCTGTTATTTAAGGTGAACGATGCATTTTTTTCCTGCTATTTTTCTCGGCCCGCTCGTCGCCATGACCATCGTTATCGTAGGCAGTAACATTGTCTGTGCATGTGCTGCTCTCAGCAGCTGACGGCAACTCGCAATCGTAGCAACAGAAGATCTATTATTCTGTTCGGCCCCATGACTATCCACTACGGGGCAGTGCCCACAGGCGCCACAAATGCCACAGGTTACCTATCTCCTTTGACTCCGTACATGTACATGACATTACGCTACGTAGTCCCGGCCACATATAGAATGCCCCATCGCACGTACATATTGCCGATGTATACACATCAAGCGAATGTCGTTCGTTATTGGTTCTATGCAAAATGAACGCGGCAGCAGCAGAAGTGAAGCACTACAGCCCACGAGATGGTTAGGACGACAACAAAACTCGTGCTACTTGTATGGAGCAGTTAAGCAGTGTGCCTGTGCGTCTGACGCTTGGCGCTCGGGGGCCTCCCAAACGTAGTCAAGAATTCACCCCATCCACAGTCTATAATATATTCGTGCAGTGACTACCGCGCCATCAGTGCTGGTCTAGATTCGTACGCAGCCGTAAGCGTATCGTCATATACAACATTGCATAGTTAGATACAGCGAAGAGGTTCACGATCGACTGGTTCAAATACCGCGCCTACCCGATGGACCCACCAGGGCGGACCGTTTAGCGTAACGTGACTGCCTTGATGCTCTTGACGATGGCATGGTAACATGTTCATACGCTCAGTATCGGACATGGGGCTGATCAGAACAAGAAAACGATCAAAACACTTAGGTCCTGCAGATTGGTTAGTCGGAAAGAAAAACGTCGAAACCGAGAACAAGTTGGTGCATAGTTAATCTTTTTGTAAATCTAATAGTGAGGATGCAGTTCGCCTAAGTATATTGGTCGCTATCATCGATTGACACTTGTGATTGAGGTTAACAGTCCGTTCATATCAGGATCAACGTTGATCAAACTAGATCCTGATAAGATAATTCAGGTAATTAATAAATATAATTATATCCTCGTATATAGTAATATTATGCTTGTAGGTGAACTGATGTTATTTGTGCCGTTGTCGGTCGTCATATTGTTGGTTAGACGTATTTTTTGCCTTTTTTCAATGGGAATCGCTCTTCGTGGAGAATTTCTATTGTTATTTTACGGAAGTCGATATAAATAGTGTGCGTTATGGAAACGCTTATTCGATGATTGATGAAAAGAACTAACTGTGACATACTAAAAGTTGTCAAATACGCAGCCTATCACTTGGTAGTAACTTGATTTTAGGTATTTTTCACCCATTCACACTAGACCTAATGGCTGAACTTCCTAGAAACTTTTTAGCCGTATTGTGTCTTTGTCTTACGGCATTGATTCGTATTATCAGAACAGAATTTCAGACATCTTTAACTAACAACTGTTCTTAGCTATACCCTGTTGACACCGTATAATTACCGAAACGATGAAATTATAAATATTTTTATCAATATAGGGATTTGTTCTAGTTTCAGTTTATACATGCGTAGATGTTACATTGACTATGATTTTCTCAAAGTTATCAAAATGTCTATTAAATCGCCTTCAATCGATACGAGTACCCCCTTCTAAAAGAAGGAAGCCGTTAACCATTCTGTACCATAGAATACAAATTGATACGGTAACTTCGCCAGGCAGAAATCTGTTTTTGCGAAAGTACTCACCATAACACCGTAATAGAAAATGCGTTGTCGGTCGACGCTTAATTCACCCATAGCAACAGCGAACATGTCTGCGGTCAATAAAGTTCGCTACTTGTAGAACAAGCAAATCATTTAAGGACGAACGAATTGCTCGATCAACCTGTATCAGCTCTAGTTCCAGCGTTCCAGGACGCTCTTTTCGTATTGCGTCGCGATGTCCCGTTATTATGCATACAGGAAAAGAGAAACTTATTCATCTACGTACGCACGCACGCACGAACGCGCACACACACACACACACACTGACTCACATACACACACTGACTCACATACACACACACAACACATGCACACATCACATACACACACACACACACACACACACACACACACACACACACACACACACACACACACACACACACACACACACACACACACACATACACATACACACATACACACATGCACACATGCACACACACACACACACACACACACACACACACACACACACACACACACACACTACACACACACACACACACACACATACACACACACACATACACATGCACACATACACACATGCACACACATACACACATGCACACATGCACACACACACAAACAGATTTGCCTATAGACCCGCGCACATAAACACCGGCGGGCGCACTTTTTAGCTGCTGCGCGTCGCTTCTGCGCTGATCACAAGACTGCGATACGGAATCGAGCGTGGGATTGTTTCGTTCTGTACAGGATAATTTGTTTCCAGCCCGCCGTCCAATCCGTCCATCTATCCAGCGGCCATAGCAGTTTTATAGTCGTTATGGCATAAAAAAGGACACAAATCGCTCTTCTTTACGCGCATGCATAGGACGGATAATCACTACATAACCAATAGCCGGCGCGAAATAACGGATACGTTATCACTAGTTGCCGCATTAGGCCCCGTCGACAATGTCCCTCCGCGGTGGGGCAGCGTCGTTGCCACGATCTTTGGCTATCTTTTGGCCATCCGACCACATCATCTTTCTAAGCATATGCGCTTATCTATCGTCGAAGCAAGAAGTAAATAGTTTCTGTTTTTCTAGTCGAAAGAGGCTGTCTGAAGCGTCCGGTCAAAGACGAGTCTGACAAGTTACTTTCCATTCACTGCGCGGGCTTATTTTTGTCGCTTTGGAGGTTTGTTGGCATTGATGCCGTCCTCGATGTTGTTGGTGTTGATATCGTCTGAGGCCGTTTGTTGATACTGCTATTGTTGTGAACAGTATCTCTGGCTCGTTTTTGCTGATGGCCCATACGCAGACGAGGGCTAGGTGAACAAGCTGACTTGGTCGATAGCAAAAACCGGAGTACCATGTGTAACATACGAGAAAACAATTACACTTAGCAATAAAAAGAAAACGAAGTGACCGGCAGTGGTGGTGATCAGGTGATCAGGTGATGATGATGATGATGATGATGCTTTTTGCTGTGACTGCTCTGCGATATCGCACCGATGAGCAGATTGGCAGACCCATTACGAGTACGATGAGGGACACGATGGTGATTCCGTTACGCGCCGGCGCTGTTCCCGTCGACGCCAAGCGCCAATAGCGGAAAATGCAGACGCGCAGAAATTCGTTTGTTGTTGTTGATTCTGGTTGACTATCGGCAGTCGTCTTTCAATTGTTACTGGCTGGTACGAATAGCCGAACAACATCTCTACAGCCGCTAAACGCGTAGCTGATTCAGGGTTCGGGTCTGGTTGAAAATGGCGTCATGCAGTGATATATTGCGTCACAGTGTAATGTAACGAGACGCAATTGAAAGATTTGTCATTTATTATCAATCAGTCGCTATCTATCACCTCATTAAGTAACTGGTGATGGCAGACGTGGCAATCTTCAACGAGTTAACTGTATCATATACGCTAAATGATTTGCTAAAATCGGCATATGTGGCGACTATTTATGGAGACTCCGACGAGAATTTTAAGGCGCCTGCCCTAAGAGGCTGACTCAAGTCGACGCAGTCAAGTAGTCCTTAAGCCATTGGTAAAATAACGTTGACAACACCATGCGGCCTCTTTCATCTATCAACTAGGTTATCTGTCCCTTGAGCCAACCTCTCGTAGAGCATCTGTCTCGTGAGCCGTTGATGTTTATGGTATACCCACCGAAAAATTAACGTTTAGTACCGTCATTAGGTATTCCGTCAGACGTATCATATGTCTACCTAGTTCCGTATGTCCGCATGGCTCGTATATTTACATCCATATACGATCTGATCTACATATATCTAATATAGCTCCGTCGATTTGTATCGAGCTATTTGTTATTCTTGTTTCAATACATTCGCGCGTGTGTTTGAACACCCGCGCTGGTTTTGTGCTATATAGGACGGTATAAAAGTGTCCCTTGAAACTTTCAAGTAGGCCTTAAATGCCAGTTGGAGAGTGTTCATTAAGTATCCACTCATAACGATGCTCTTTATCGAGATCATTTTTGTATCTCCTGCTGGTCTAGCAATCAGAAACTGAGGGCTCCCTAACTGCTAGCCGTGACTTTTCTACGTGAAAACTGCTAGGTACAATTTTGCTCTGTTCCGGTTTGCAGAGTATCACGTGATATCGTCAGTACTAACGGTACTCGCTCGTTTCATTCGTTATCTACTATATCTTGAATGTCGCAATCTTTGCTGGTGTCTTTACCTCCCATCCAAACGTATCATTCTCAGCTACTGCAACGGTTCCTTATCGTACGTGCCTAGCAGTACAGCGTACTGATAGTTTAAATTTGACAATTAATCTCTTCCTATGTCATATATACAGGTCTAAAATATAGACGCATATGGCTCTATAGAATACTTCACTAGACTAGGTTTAAATTTGCTGATCTGGCCTAAGGTCTCTACATAAGGGTTAGGTCGACGAAGCCGCTGTGCATACATTGTTGCTGATGCTGTTGTTTCTCGGATCTCCGTTTCATGTGGCTCGCAGCTAGTACCGAAGCTGCCTGCGAAACGTGCGAGTGGTCAATAGAAGAAAGTGGCGAATAGAAGGGCAATGGCAATAACTAATTCTGCCGCCGACCGGCTCCAACTATTAGCCAATGGATCAACCTGTTTCTTTGACTAAAGAAAACTAGGAGGATTGGTCCGCACATGCCCTGGCCAGAGGCCAGGGCAGCTTGATATGTTGCTATCAAGCGTTATGCAGTTTACATGCAGATCTGTTAATGTGAATGTCGATAGATATGTGGATAGAAAGGTCTACGTGGCCAGAGACGCAGGTTCTCGTTGAATTCGCGGCCGGCTCGCCCAACCTTCATTGGTCCTTTGCCACCACCGCTATTAGTTACTGTTGGTCATCGGTTACTATCACCAAGTATGTTTTTCCATTCGCTTTAACGCTCCGCACACCGTTGCTCGCTGTAGACGTCCAAACGGAGTTTCGCGGGGCCTCATTACAGGCGCGTTGGTGGCGCGAAAGCTTGTGACTATTGCTGGCACGGATGCCTCGCCACAGCCCCTCCCCTGTCCGGCGTTCGGTAACTGTACAACTCTTCGGCTGTACAACTGTACATGTATATCAGCTCTGCCTTTTTTTTGGTTGGCCCGACGCTCAGCGCCTATTGCATACATCTGTGCCCGTTCAAAGACTTTTCTCCGTTGGTTACTTCGATGGGCGTATGGACGGACAAGCGAATTCTTCTGTGCTACTAGCAATTTTCGCTTCTTTCGGTCTTTTTCTCAAACGACTGCTGACTATGATTCGAGCGTTCGTTTCTGTCTTTTCCATCAACACTGCTTAACGCTGATACTGTTCCCGCTGGTTCAAGCAGTCTTCAGCACAAGCCGTAATAACTCGCCCGCTGCTCACGAGCTCACCAGTATCGCGAGAACATCGACTCTGGAGCACAATAACGCCGAGCGATTTGCTTGCGCGCAACAGGGAGACCTCACGGAAGCAACAGAGACCGTTGAGCAGAATTGCTGAACCTTCAGTTCAATCTGGTTTAAGCGAAGCCGATCGGACCGAATGAAGTCAAGGTGTTTTAGACTAACTCTCTCCTTCTCTGAATCTCGCCCGCTCAATCTCTTCGATTTGTGAAGCTCAGACAAATCAATGAGCACGGAACGGATTTTGACCCCGGATAGCACCAGGGCCGTGTACACTGTCGCCGATAGGTCAATCGCTGTATCAGCCCGGCATTCGGTTTCCCTGATAAATGATTCTGATATTCATAGGCCCGGTGACGCATTTTACTGTTGTAGATGCTATGATCATGTTGTTGTCGTTGACGCTGTCGTCGTCGTTACGACCCCATCGCTGCGGGTGCAGGCATACAGGGCACGCGAGAGAGGGAAAGAGCTCAACGAGCGGCAGATCTGCTGTTGTTCACAGTGAGGCTATTGTCAATAGGCGAAATTGCCGATGGGAATGGCACAGACAGACAGCGAGAGAGAGAGAGAGAGAGAGAGTGAGAGAGAGAGGCAGAGGGGGAGGGAGGGGGAGGGAGAGGGAATCGCTGTCTTTTCCGTATGTGAAGTTGAAGGCAGTGCTAAGAGATCTTGTCCATTGGGCTCATGTGAAGGGGACACATTGATACACAGACAGAATATAGAACGTAGATGGTGTTGGGCAAATGAGCAGATATTATGGGCAGACGATGCCTATGGAATTGATGGATGTTGTCGGGCAGTGCTGATAGGAGAGATCTTTTTGCAAGCACTTCGATTAGCTAGCTAGTCGTCGCGGAATGGCCTGCAAAAATATTATTAGTTTCATCGTACCCCCAAATCGTAGCATTGGGGAGAACACTGATACGGCAATATGTCTTCAAGGACTCTCATAATTCTGTCGTTTACATTCGCTTACGTAAGCTCAGACCTGCTATCTTTTCATATAAACAGTCAAAGTGATAACTGGGCTGACCCAGTAGCTATGCATGTGATGTACACATGTACAATCGAATTTATGATGATATATTGCAGAGCTGTAGATGCTCTGCAAATCAGACGGTCCTAAAAGATGTAACTGCAATTGATTGAAGTTCCACACACACACACACACACACACACACACACACACACACACACACACACACACACACACACACACCCGCACACACACACACACACACACACACACACACACACACACACACACACACACACACACACACACACACACACACACACACACACACACACACACACACACACACACACACACACACACACACACACACACACACACACACATACACACACACACACACACATACACACACATACACACACACACACACACACACACACACACACACACACACATCTGTATGAGAGTCGAAAACGTATTGAGCGTTTTTAACCAGACGGCAAGAGTCGCGTCGATCTTTAGTTTAGGAACTTACATCGGTAAAACTTTTTTATATTTAGATGAAATCAAGTAAATTCTAGGGCGGTAATCGCGGATGATGAACATCAATGAATCACATACGACAATACTACGCTCGACAGTATCTGTGGCAAAACCATATGGCATTAGAATGAAATTCTCATTTACCATGAGCTATTACGATCGATTCAAGCCTTTACTGTTCATAAATAACAAGATTTTGTCAAACAGCTAAAAAGAAATTAACCGAAACTCGTGCACAGCCAGCACGTCGCCTGCCACCATTTCTACTATATTCGTTACATCCTTAACTAACAGGGAAAAAATCTAAGACCAACTGGACGGGAAACTTCAGTTCATCCGCTATACGGCCTGGGTCTTACACAATAGCTATCTTATACAATTACCCTGCTACAGCTAACTTGTTTCCCCTCCGTAATCAACCGGGTCTAATATATTTACTAGAAGCTCAGTCAGCTATAAATTTGCCTCTCTTGTGTTGGTTTCTGGCAGATTTCTACAAGGTTAGCACGGGGCATTTTTAGCGTTAACTGATTGACTCCGTCGCTGGAGATCAAGCGACCCCTGGCAGCGTACATAAATCGAGTCGACCCACTCCTAGCGGATCTTGCCCATTGCTAGAATTAGCCTACCTTTCGATTCTATTCCTGGAAAATCACCAATAATTTTTTCTTTATCAATGCCTACATAAATTGATGTTACTAGTACGTTTCCTGCAGTGGTTCTGTCCAGAGACGTCGTCGAAGCTTAGAAAAAAAAGTTTAAGTCTTTTAAGTGTTTTTCTTTTGTAGGAATAAATTGGAGATTTTCTTCACAAAGAGCAACCCTAATTTTTCAGTCGACATTTACAAGAGAATCGCTAAGATGACTGCTCAAAAAGCATTTTCACCCTACTGTTTGTTACATAGACGAACCAATACGACCAATAAAATTAATGCCGTTTTTTTTTGCCACTATAGATATATGAATTGTATTTTTATTCCGATCGTCAAGATCTATCGAAGGGCAGATATAGTTCAGGAACTAAATCTTTTTAAAAAAGTTCTTACTTTTCGAACGCCGTTTTCGATCTAGTAAGTAAAACACGATTCAGCTCGTTGAAAGCTTTCGATCGGTACCAACAATTGCCGAACAGGCTTCCGTGTGAAAAGCGAGAGAGGTGCCACCTTAGCTTTGGGCTCCTTGTTGCCGAATGTTAACTACAAAAAAAAAAACACTTTTATTTAGCTCGCTATGATCTATTAATTGATGTAAAGTACTCGGGCAAATTAAAGTTTATATTTTTCCCTAAAAAAATGTTGAAGAATATATTCGAAAACATTGTTCAATAGTATATTCGTGATGTTATAATTTTCCGGTTGACGCTAATGAAGCACTCAACAATTATGAAACACACTTTCATCTAGGTGTCTGTCACAAATCCCTCAGCGGGTTTTTGACCATTTCCACAAGGTTTTTGCTCAGATCCTCGAAGTTTATCGATCGCCGTCGGATATTTCCTTGCATCAAAGGCTGTGTTAAGTTTCCGCGTTTCCAGGGCTATTTTCAACCTAAAAACTGAGACGTAGGTCCACGAACATGCATTCTGTCTTGATTTAGCTCAGCGAGAGTTTTCAGTTGGAGCTGCAAGTAAACATTCGGCTATTACTGTAAACCTTCGACAAAAATAGTTCACCTTAGCCCCCCACAGACCTTAACCCCTCGTAAACACGTATATAAGGAAAAAGGGCAAAAAGCGATTAATTTGCTCAAATAAACATTACGCTCGATAGAATAGGAGAACAGACTGTGTTTTGGGAGAAAGTGTTGATCCAATCAGCTTCTTTCCAAAAGGAAACTCTAACGAGTCGCCAAAAGTCAGCCTAGTCTGACTATTTTAAAGAATTGCTTTGGATAGGACAGATGAATGAATGAACAAATAAATAAACATAGAGTTTTAGTGGTCTAACGAATTAATCTGGAGGGCTCAATTCACGCTTTCAGTTTTTAAACCCTTGCAAAGCCTGTGTTCAGTGTTTCCTTGTCTCAGTATCGTTACTTACCTATTGGCTGGCGTCACGGATGCCAGTATTATCATCATCCAGCAACGCTACCAGAGTGGGCGGCGTGGCCTGGGCGGCTAACGTGCAGGCCTGAGTGCGCTGTCATGGTAACCATAGGTAACAAGCGAGCTGCTACGTTCGTCAAAATTTATAATTTAATGTAAATATTAATAACAAATAAAACGGGGAGTAAAAAGGTAGGACCTAAAGAAAACTCAGGCGTTATTATTACTGAGGCCAAAAGGTGCCTGTATGGGTGCCATGTCCTTTGATAGGTTCGGTAGGGAAACCCCAGGTGAGCTCTTGCTACTATAGCTTAAAATAGATGATTATGAGAACTTGTTTACATAAAAATGACATTCTTAATAAATATTAAGGCCAGTAATAAGGTTATCACAACGGACCCATGAACGAAGTGAAACCTGAGGGAAAGAGCCAAATATCGAAAAGGGATCAAGCAGCCGTCGTTAAGCAAGCATAGTAACTCTTATCAGCAGTATAAGTAGCTACTTTGGTGCTGCTATTGCCCCGATTCTCTTTAGTGTCGAGCCTGTCATGGCCGTCGCCATCATTTCCTCTTACCTTCGGCGACTTCTCTTTGCGATCCTTCGATACGAGCCGATCAGGCAGATGAATAAGGGCGAAAGTCGAACACCACGGAGGAGGCAGCCGAGTGGCTTGCTCTACGACTACAACCGGGGACTTTATGTGCGGGAGCGTAGGGGCTCACGAGAAGTTCGGCTATAGAGAAAAAAAACGGTAAGCACGACAAACCGGTCGCGGGGGTCGATGGCAGCACCGCCGCTCATTCTGGCCAAAACCGCCAATTCCGATCCGGATAACGATAGAAGCCTTGTGGCCTCGCTTCTCGTGCCTGCGTACTGTTTATGCATGAGTATGCGCTTGTTACACTTCATTCGTGGTGACTTCAGTTTTTTGCCTTGTCATTCTCTGCAGCATTAGCATTATTCGATAATCATTATGATTTTCGGTGTCGTCTGCTAGCCGATATCGTAACGATCTGCAGTCACTAGAGAAGGGTCTGCCCGCGGTTGCTGTATGTCGTCCACTATGTAGATTATCTAATAGGGCTGTGCGATAAAAGAAAGCAGCTACGTAGTTACATTGTACTATTCTGCAGGGCCCCGTGGCGACGTCCCATCGTGATGGCAGCGGTGCGCCCTCATCAGCCGCTTGTGGCATAGCCTAATCCCGGCAAGATCCAGGACAAACCGTACGCTGCACGGCTCGACGTCCATCACCGTCACCGGCAGCCTAATCAGGATCGCCATAGTCGAGATGACGGCTATGACGATGTCGATGCCGGCGCCATACTGTAATGGCCGGTCCTACATCTACCATGGTCTACAGGCGTGTTCCGTGTCCTTTGCAGTTCCTAAAGCTATGGTGTCTACAACGAGAGTTCTGCAATAGACCCAACAGAAGCGAATCCTGAATCAGTCAAATTATCCGTGTACTATGAAGTGTACGTAAAGTGCTGATCATACACATGCCTTACCGAGATGCGGGTCATTACTCAAGATACTTGTTTCGAATTTTACACTTTCCTCTGGTTCCACTATACGTCGCTTCAGAGAAGTAACAGCGTCTCCTTTCAGCAGCGTGTGTATGCCCGCCCGGTTTTCAACCTGGACTCCACTTACGGAGCATCGCTAAGTCTCGTAGGCCATTACATCAATACAGGGACACTGCTAGAGCCTCTGCGACCATTGTGGTTATTCTAGTACTCGGCGAATTGGGCTGGACAGCGTCGCATAGTTGCTGCTAACATCTCGATTGTTTCTCCATTTTCTCAAAGCTAGCAATGGCTAATCGTTCCTATGTCTTCGCTGCGTGATCTATTCGCGTTAATCTAAATCATTTCATTTATTCACCCATCGCTGTCCGGAGCGGCTGCTGGCGCCGTAGCCATCGTCGCTAGCCGCCTATTGCCACTTCGATTCCGTCCGCAGCAGCCCTCTGGCCTAATAATAAACAGTTAATGCAAGAAGCCCTTCTCTACATAGATGCTATATACATTGCTAGCTTACTGGTTAATTTCTGTGTGCCAGCGTCGAAGACAAGTCAGGACGGGTTGGCTGCGCCTGCGGCCCGCAAAGAGGTCAACGGTTCTTCTCTTCGTAACTGCCATAGTCCTACCAATGTCTGCGTTAGTGAGTCGCGTTCGAACGAGCCGCTATAGCAGACGGTCGCGGCAGCAACGGCTTCCTGGTATATGCCAGCGCGATCAGCATCATTCGCAGGCGAAGGCAACAGAAGCGGCGGGGCTAGAACGGAACAGGATTGAGAACACTGCTGCCACTACTGCGACTGATCATGATGATTTTGCTGCGGCTGTCGGTGGCGATGATGATGATGGTCCTGCTGTTAGCTACATGACTATGACAGCTACGGAATTCTGTGGCCGTTCCTTGGTCGTGTTAGCTCGCTGCTACTGTGTGGATACTGGCCGGGTGGCAGTTAGTTGATCACTCATTCACCTCCTTTTTTTTGGGTCCTGCTGAACTCATATTACTCTGAGCGGTAGAGGGCCGCAAAGGCTTGGGGACCGACTAGCAAATGGACAGATGGAAGTCTGAATGTTTGAAACAGAAACAGAGGAGCCTGGGTAATGCTGGAGAAAGGGGGCAAATAAAGAAAAAGAAATCAGAGAACGAGATACATATATATATATAGAGAGAGAGAGAGAGAGAGGAGGGGGGAGGCAGGGAGAACGAAAGAGAAGGTGAGACGACACTAGCAGGAGAATGAACGGTTAGAGAGTGTATATAACTGCAGTTGAGAGAGATGCTTCGCTAAAAGATGGGTGAACTGACTGACTTCTTGGATAGTTCATTTGAGTAGATATCTCTTGAAAATGTTTTGCGGAAAGGAGCTTATGCGTTTGCTTCAAATGGGAAGGAAGACAATGCTGGACGGAACCACGATAGATGGCGGTACCATTGATACTAAACGTGTTTATACAAGGTCTCGTAAAAAGCGAAAAGACTGAAATTACACGCTTTTTGAAAATGAGGTCGTCTAGTTGATAAAGAGGCAGGTTTATGAAAGACGGCGGTATAGGACTGCTTTGAATTTGTCATTTCGGCAGTACACTCATCTATCCATCCTAATAAGTATTTGAAGCAACGCTAGTTATCGTACTAAAACCTGAAGACTACCACTCAGCTGAGAGTCAGCGATGGAAGCCGGTTTTTTTAGGAATCTTAACTGTACTAAGCACGTGTGGATTTGTAAGGATCCGGAATAACGAAGCTATTTATTGGTAAACAACTGTCGATTAAACAGCGTCGTTGCTTGTCACCCTGACATTTACCCTCAACATTATATCATTTAACATCTATTTCGATAGCACCAAAAGATATCAGTGGCTAAACTTTTCCTGTCAGTGAATAGTGCCGACAGGGTTTCCACGTCCCGTTGACTTTCTTGTCGTTATCGTTGGCTTTTCCTTGTGGCTGTCATGGTTGAGTCTGCTTTTCGAACTTAGCTGGGCGTCCTTAAGATTGATGAGCACGCGGTGGCTCCTGCAGGCCTATGATGGCCGGCGCTGCCGCGGCCCTAAGAGCAGTTCGAACAATCTGAGCTGTCGTTGCTGGTCACAGGCATGTTTCGACAACAACGACTAGATAAAATGAGATAGCAAAAAAGACGTGTACGTATTGAACGCATGTCTTTGAGCTCTCCAAGGAAGATGTTGAAAACGAGAACCAAAAACGTAAAGCACCGTTCAATATAGGAAGTGCATATGTTTATGAAACATCTGCATCTCAGAGTTTGGTCCTGCGGCATGATTAGCTTAAAACGATGTAGCTAGCTGGTACCTTATAATCTTATTACTATTAATCACTCAAAAAACCCAATCGAATTTATGCCTCGCAAATAACTAAGATGTGTGCTATTTCCGCAGCAACTACTCCTTTTTCCGTTCCATTGTTAATAAAGCCTGTCACGTTCGCCCTTGCAATATATTATTGTATGCGTAGCCGGTATCTCATTTTGAACTTGTTGTTGTTGAGGTACTCGTTGATCATTGCTATTGATAACTGCGAACAAAATCGCTGAAAAGACAAGAAGCCATTAATTTCTTTCCTAACACCAACTCAATCGGTACTGGGCTACCGCAGAGAATGTTTGAATGACTTGCAAAACTGTCTGTAACACGCGAATACGGCCTCTGCTGTTATATGGGCAGGTACATTTTTTGCCGAAGGCGCTAAGATCTTCGCCATTCGCAGCATCACCAACGGTAGAAATATCCGTAGCAGTAACAGCCATGGTTGTGCCTAGAACCACTCTACATGGTAGTACATATCATGCCAGGCCCTCCGATAAACAGTCGAGGCGCAGGTGTAGGCTTAAAGCTGGGCTGGTGTGTCGAGATGGTGTCAGGACGTCTGGTCCATGTTAGAACTGGCAAAGGAAGTCTACTCGGGAACCGAACGCCATAAAGAACTGTTTGCCATGTTCAACTAGGTCTTACGAATCAGGAAACCTGAATTGCGCTGTTGCTGATACTGATACCGTTGCTGAATTCTCGGACGGTTACTTCTTCGCTGCTCCTTCACTGTTGAAGAAGCGTTGTGTCCAAGGGCGTAAAGCAAAATATGTTTTTGCAGTCTCTCTGTGGAGGTCAGTACCTTGGCGGAGTATTGCCCCTTCAAGGGATAGCAAAGATGTCGTCTCTTATTGAGGGGTGCAGTGCGACGCGTAAGCGTAACATCGTATCTCAGCACCCCAAGCGATTGTCCGACACTTCTTGGCTTCGCAACGCCAGTGTCTGTTTTGGGTGTCCTCTGTGAGCTGTGGTTGTGTCAATCAAATCAGCGCCCCGTTGACACAAAGTTCCGCAACGTACTTCTAACTATAACCGCCCACTTTCGTGAGGCGTCCTTCTTTAACCTTCACACTTTTCTTTTCTTCTGTATGTTTTTGTTTTTCAACAGCCATCTTACTACCGACTTTCATACGAGCCAAGTCATAGGACGAGTCACCAGCCACGTGATTTCTACCCTACTTTTCCAGTTCTACTCTTTACTCTTCTTTTCCATACCCCATTTCCCCG